AAATTACACACAATTCTGCCTTTTAAACAAGGGATTAGTAGAACTTCCTTTCTTTGCTTTTAGCAAAACAAGAGTGCACACGCTGAAATGTCTCGCCTTCTTTACTAACCATTGATTTTATGTTGAGAGTTCTAAATACAAAGCTTTACTACAAGTAACACATAAACTTAACATGATCCAAGAAAATGAGGTCAAGATCAGATAAACTAAATGAGAAATACATGTACACCTTACAATCATTCAATAAACCAAACATAGTTGACCTATTGCTTATTGTTTCTAAGAAACAGTCTTAAACAAGAAAACATAACATTGACCAATGAACCATGAAAATGAGGTCAAGGTCAGATGAACCATGCCAGACAGACATGGCCACCTTACAATCAATTTAGGCATTAAATATAGTTGACCTATTGCTTATAGTATCTAAGAAACAAACTTAACCATGAAAACTTAACATTGACCAATGAACCATGAAAATGAGGTCAAGGTCAGATGATACCTGCCAGACAGACATATACACCTTACAATCCTTCCATACATCAAATATAGTTGATCTATTGCTTATAGTTGAAGAAAAACTTAACACTGAGAAATGAACCGTGAAAATGAGGTCAAGGTCAAATAAAACCTGTGAGACTGACATGTACATCATAAAATATTTCCATACACCATTTATAGTAGACCTATTGCATACAATATTATAAAAAAAGACCAAAACTCAAAAACTTAACTTTGACCACTGAACCATGAAAATGAGGTCAAGGTCAGATGACATCTACCAGTTGGACATGTACACCTTACAATCATTCCATATACCAAATATAGTAGACCTACTGCTTATAGTATCTGATATATGGACTTGACCACGAAAACTTAACCTTGTTCACTGATCCATGAAATGAGGTCGAGGTCAAATGAAAATTGTCTGACGGGCATGAGGACCTTGCAAGGTACGCACATACTAAATATAGTTATCCTATTACCCATAATAAGAAAGAAATTAACATTACAAAAAATGTTGACTTTTTTTTCAAGTAGTCACTGAACCATGAAAATGAGGTCAAGGACAATGGACATATGACAGACGGAAACTTCGTAACATAAGGCATCTATATACAAAGTATGAAGCATCCAGGTCTTCTAGCTTCTAAAATATAAAGCTTTTAAGAAGTTAGCTAACGCCGCCGCCGGATCACTATCCCTATGTCGAGATTTCTGCGACAAAAGTCGCAGGCTCGACAAAAATGGCAAGGCGTGGAATATCTACTACTAATTTTGCAGTGATTTGGATTTTTAATCTCAAAGATCCACCAAAAAATATATCCTTTATTGGATCTTATTGGGTAAGGATCCTATCATCTTTTTATGGAATATCATCATTCAAGTTTTTCTATCTTACTTAATAATTCACAATGTGTCCATTTACAATATATTGTCAATTACTTTGACTTTTGGTTGCTTAAATCTATACCTTATTGAAAAAAATATTTTAAGTTTTGAAGTTCCTAATAGAACTGGACCTTATCTATTAAACTCCTGAGTCACTTATGGGTAACATAAAAGTGTAGAGATTTAATTCTTCCATGCACTTTTTTATTTTACAAGATGTGAGTACTGTTCATATATTATTCATTTTTGGTTTACTACTGCCTTGAATAAAAGACATGCATGTAAAAAATAAGAGTGCACACACTGAAATGTCTCGCCTGCTTTACTGACCATTTTTATTTTATGTTGAAAGTCTTAAGGGTTTTCTTAGTCTTACAAGTATCACATAAACTTAACATTTTTAAATATCCACGACAATGAGGTTAAGGTCAGATAAATCCTGTCAAACAGACATGCTCACCTTAAAATTATTCCATACACCAAATATAGTTGACCTATTGCTTATGGTAACTGAAAAAGAACAAAACACAAAAACTTAACATTAACCAATGAACCATGAAAATGAGGTCAAGGTAAGATTATACCTGCCAAGCAGACATGTACACCTTACAATCATTCCATACACCAAATATAGTTGACCTAATGCTTATAGTATTTGAAACACACCAAAAAACAAACATCTTAAAATTGACCAATGAACCATGAAAATGAGGTCATGGTCATATGATACCTGCCAGATAGACATGTACACCTTACAATCATTCCATACACCAAATTCAGTTGACCTATTGCATTGTTGACCTATTGCTTATAGTACATGAAAAAAGACCAAAACACAAAACTTAACATTGACCAGTGAACCATGAAAATGAGGTCAAGACCAGATGAAACCTGCCAGACTAACATGTACCATATAATCATTCCATAACCACATAGAGTTGACCTACTCAGTACTGCTTATTGTATCTGAGAAACGGACCAAATAGGGCATCATTAACCTTGATCACTCGTCCATAAAATGAGGTTCAGGTCAGTTGAACTATGTCTGACAAACATGTTGCAAGGAACCCATGTACCAAATATAGTTATGCTATTACTTATAATAAGTGAAAAATTCACATGACAAAAAAGACAATAGACAATAGACATATGACAGATGGAAACTTCATATCATAAGGTATCTGCATACAAAGCATCCAGGTCTTCACATCCTGAAATATAAAGCTTTATACAAATAGTTTACACTGCTGCCGCCTGATTGTAATACCTATGTCTCGCATACTGCGACTGGCAAAACAAAAATTGTAACTTTACTTTTTATGAGGCTCAACTTAACAAACTATTTGTTTGGTTTGTACAAGTAGATGCTTTGATTTTAAAATGTTAAGCAAAAGTAAAAAGTTGGACAATGAGCTACTGACTACTAATGATTCCTCACTATAAGTATTCAATTAACAGGTTGATGATGAGCTATGGATGTGAAAACCCTTCATACAGTATACACTCATATGAAACTTTATAACAAATTTCAGGAAGTTTTGATTCCTAGTTTCTGAGAAAAATGCGATGAAATTTTATACATGGACATTATGTCTAAGAGGTAAATAGGAAGTTGATGAGTAATGGGCAATGAATGTGGAAGCATATAACAATGTTTATAATGCTTTAGTTACATAAAGCTTGATACCAAATTTCAGGAGACTGGTTTGTAGTTCCGGTGAAAAATGGGAAAAATTACATTGGACAAATAAAATGCTTACTTTATCACAAAAGGATAAATAATTTAGGTATAAGTATTAGTGGCTATGCTACAGGCTCTGTAAATACTACAGTAATGTCATGCATATAACCATAACCACAAAATACCATAGCAACGACCCCATACACGATAGCATGGAGTTTCTTCTTCATCTCTGTCATCTAAAGAAAAATTATCTATTGAATTACCTCCCTTGGTAGGAAAAAAACGTATATATTAGTCAATTGCCTAAGAAATTAATTCACCAATAGAAGACAAACTGTTACTGCATCTTAATATAGGGTAAATATTTTACTACTCTGTTGAAGTTGCCAGTCAATTCATCAACAAACCCTGGTATAAAACTTTTTCACAAGTATAAATTAGATTTTGTAACATATTTTCAAAAGTTTAATGAGTACTCCAGTATGTCAAAGTAACGGCCATATAACCAATAAGCTTTGAACTTCTTGAGAGAATTGAAATAAAACATGTGTTTTGGAAAACTAGTTCTACCATTGGAAGAGAAAAGAACTGGTCACTATCTCATCTACATTTTATATATAATCAGCATGTTTTGAATGTCAATGAGCAGGCCAAAGATTTTCTTCATCTTATGTTTCGCTTTATATGTACATGATATATATGTACTTCAATTTGATTACCTTTAAAACAATCATAAATCAAAACTTGTGGCTTAAATCTGAGTTTCTCAGTATTACAATAGCTCTATAATGCTAAACCCTACGGCTTAATTAGCTTTTTTTTCTAATTTCTATCTTATCTCAATAATTTTGTTTTGCTCTAATTAAATTTCATGACTTATGATAAATATTTATTCATGACAAATAGAACATTATCTAAGAATTTCAATATAACTTGAATAGTCTGTCAGAATTAGCTGTTTTCAGAATCTGAAGGATTATGGGTAATCTTAGATGCTATTAACAAATCACATTGTTGTGGTATTGACTTAATTTTGAAAATAAAATCCAGAATGTATTGGTATCTTAAACAGGGAGTATCCCAGATGGAATTATAAATAACAGCCACTAATCCATCAATATGCATGCTATGAATTAATTCAATTCAATTTGTAATTATGAAATATGGCATTTATACATGCTTGCCTGTCGCAGAATCGTTATATAAAATGAATGATATATAATACATCATGAATTAAATGTTCAAGAATCCACAGATTTGTTGAAATGTGAAAATAAAACATATTTACACTGTCACAAAAGTACAATCTATAATAGCATTCGAGGTACTGTTTATATTAAACAAATGGAAATGTGGCCATGGGACACAGATGATGCCCCGCTTGCATATAACGTTACAAAGGGGCATAACTCGAGAACGGTAAAAGTGATGCCACCCAAATTCGAACTTGATCTGTGTTTTGTGGTAATAAGCATTAAGCGTAAGTTTCAGAACATTTGGTTGAGACAAACTAAAGTTAGAGAATGGAAACCAATTTCGGGATGTAGGTACGGACAGACATGGGTAACACTTAATGCCCCCTCCAGTGACAGGTAAATAGTCTATCAGCAAATATTAATGAGGTAATTTATCATCCATCATTATTTTCCAATAGCTGTGATCACAATATCTTCCCATTTATCTAAGTATAAAAGATGACTTGTAGCAAGGTTGACTGGGTGTCAAATCATATAATAAGCAATGTTATCAATTTGACAGAATATAGCAGCTATAAAAAATCTATTACATGATAAATTGTGCTAATGAGATTCACCAGAAATCTGAGAGCTCATTCGTGATTGACATTCAATCTTAAAAGGTGTTACATCAAAACCTAGAATCAATAGAAAGAGATAGTTTATTTATAAATAATTCATAACCTTACCTAAACCACATCGTATTGGGAACCTTCGACTACATTCCTGAAAAATATAAAACAAATACTGGTATATCACAGTATATTCTCTCCTGAGACTTTGTCTTGTGTATATTTTGAATTCGTGAGTCAGAGTTTGTATACTATTTCATACCACATATTCTTACAATACTAATTATAGTATACATGTACATGTATTGTACTGTTAATTCATAAAACTCTGTCTGAAATGCAGCATAAAATCTAAAGTGTGAGCTCTATTTTTGCAAAATCTAATATATTTTTGCAATAAAAAAAAACACTTCAAAAATTCTTTAATTTACAGTATATTAGTTGTTTTTTCCTTAACAAACCTGTGGCATTTTTGTATAGCTTCTTCCATGCAGTACTTAAATATACATTCAGTTTACTTATCTTTAATTACTGGACTCTGGAAAGTACATTGTTTTACAATGAAACTGCAACAACTTCATGTACTCATTACACAACTAAAGCCTACATATCACATGAACAATTACAGAGAAACCCCTGAAACCATTCAAATTACATGGTTCACCCCATGTTCTATCATTTACGTTTACTGTCTAGTTCATGTTATTGGTAGATCTTTGAGAACATTTTGAAACTTGATCAATTTAGCATGTTCATATTCTAAAGGGCACTTTTGGAAGAGATTTTTTAAAAAAAATTACTAACAGGATGACTGATGCCAAGAAGTGGCAACAGCTCACACAGCACTTTTGTGCCTTAGAAATAAAAAATCCTTGAGAACACTTAAAATTCAATATTTCTAACACATTCTATCAGCAGCATTGTTCATATCTATAAATTTTAGTTTAGAATTTTCCAAATTCACTTTTCTAGGCAAAATTTTGCTTAAACTACTGATTTCCAGAAAGATTCCATAATTAAATGACCTTACAAAACTAGTAATTGAATAATACAAGTCTTTATCTAATGGTTACTTAACATAACACTAATAGACTCTCAATTTCTCAGCTAATCATTCCCTGTGTACTTTTATTCCAACTAAATCTAATTAAATGTGTTTAAAGAATTATAATTAACCACTGATATAATTTAAACAAATTAATCAATTTATCAATACCCATTATGAAGTGAAAGGAAGAAACTTCTGTATACACACCATGTTTAAAGACTCTTCAATTTGTCAACACATTTATTTACTCACCAAACTGAATATTTAGTCCTTATTTTCAATAATTAAAATCGAATTTCAATACAATATCAACCATAAAAAATCTTTTAATATTTATATTTCACATTTTTGTATGAACAGAAATATGATTCTTTAATTATCTTTAGTTACCACCATTTCTTAGAACCAATTGGTTTTGCAGGTTTTATCATTTTTACAATTCCTTCATAATGTACTTATAAAAATATCAAACATTTTTTCTGTGACTTGACAATATCATTTATCTCTTGTTATTAAAGTCCAGTAAAATATCTTGACTCCATTGCAGTTTTTTCATTAACATGTATTGTCAAATAGTCAGAAACAAACAACTGCCAACAGTCAAAACATATACGTTTCACAAGGAAAATGACACTTAAAAAATTTTGTGCATCCAAAAAGCTTTTCTGAATTACCATCATCAGGAACGCTCAAAACTAAACATTTGAAAGCCAAAGATGTGTAAATGTGTAGACACCTGAAGAGCTATATGCCTAAAATGACCTAAAAAGAATAGCCAAATTCAGATACAGTCAACTTTACCTGAGGGAGTTGGAACCTTAGCTTCTTAATAATTTCTGAATTTATCAACAGCAAATTTTATGTTACATGTATAAATAATGTCAGTAGGAAAGCATTGATTACTGAGCTGATGATACTCTCGGGACTAACAGATCCACCAGTAATGGTATCGACCTAGTGCTAATAGTACAAATGCAAGAAAAAGCCATTCTAACAATCCTATCAGATTTTGTATCCATTGCCAACATCACTATCATTGCTAAATTTTATTTACTTATAGTAATAAATTCAGGAAGTTATTTTTGATCTGCTATAACACATATAAAACTGGAACGTTATAGCTTTTACAATAGGAAGAGTGAAGCTCTTATAGCTAAGTCACAGTTATTGGATTGATTGTCTTTTGAAGTTTTTATTTTGTAGTGAACCAAGTTACTGGACATATGGTCAAGTAAAGAAGTATCCTTACTGTCCTAAACAGAGAACATTGGACTTTATTCTGTCAATGTGTGGCACACCTAAAAATGGCTAAAAGACTTAAAACCTGTTTTTTAAAGTGTCATGTAATCTGTTTTTTTTGGGGGGTAAACATCATATTCATTCACAGCCATCTTATTTTTACAGACTGTATTGGGAACATTTTGGCCTAGGAAATTAAAACTGTAATTTCAGAAATTTTTGCAATATTTTTATTACTGAGAAAATTGCAACTAGATAGGTTTTGCAAAATTTAATCTCACATTTAGGCCATTGTAATAATTTCAAAGATTTATGAACAAAACGTTCCTGATTTTACTGTTCTCACATGACAAAAAACAAATCAACTTTTTTTTTATATACAAATTAATACAAAATGTACGAACAGTATCTAATTTATGAATAAAAAGATGTTCGAGTATACATCATTCAGCCTGCAGCAACCCAAAGAAATGTAAAAGTAAATGAACCTCATTCTTAGAAAATAAGATGGTGTAAAAAAATAACAGATTTGTCATGTATGCAATGTATAAATATGCAGATAACTGTGTATCAAATCAACAAATTTACGACAAGCCTCCTACTGTTCATAATAATTCAGAGAATTTAAAGGTAAAATAACCTGAGATACAATTTCTAACAAATGATTCTTCAGACGATGCGGTATGATTGCCAATGAGACAACTAAAGATTTGGGGTATACATCAACGAACAAACAATACAAATAAACCCCAAAAGTAATCTATAAGTATTTACTATTGTAAACAGTTGCCTATAATTGCTAACATCCACTTCATTTGAGCTTTGGTGGATGGTTGTCTCATTGGCAATCATACCACATCTCTTTATTCATGTTATTTTTATAAGAACAAATAGTGAATAAATCAAATATCTTTAGTTGTATTATTTTATTTTTCTTTACCAATTCATGATCAAATAATATATATATGATGAAAGATCATAACAAAGCATTTTGCCTAACAGCCCTCATATGTATCATCCCTTGACCAATATTGAACATTGGCTAATTGCTGAAGCTCATGGTCAAATAAGGAAGTCTCAGGATGATATAGGGGACAATATTGAAAATTGCTGTGTTATAATCTATAAATATCTGATGTATAAACAAGAATGTGTCCATGGTACACGGATGCACCACTCGCACTAGCATTTTCTGTGTTCAGTGGACCGTGAAATTGGGGTCAAAACTCTAATTTGGCATTAAAATTAGAAAGATCATATCATAGGGAACATGTGTACTAAGTTTCAAGTTGATTGGACTTCAACTTCATCAAAAACTACCTTGACCAAAAACTTTAACCTGAAGCGGGACAGACGGACGAACGAACGAAGGAACAGACGCACAGACCGAAAAACATAATGCCCCTCTTCTATCATAGGTGGGGCATAAAAATGACCTATTCATTTTTATTTTGAATAAACATGTTAGAATGTCTTGATTAGATTTTCTGTATTAATCAACTTGTTTAGTTTTGTCTTCTTGAGTTGTTGGATTACAGTCTCATTATTAGTATTTTTTCCAATTTTTATTCTTCAATTTTATGTTAAATTTACAGAAATTTGACATTAACATTATAACAATAGCTGATCATGGTTGATGTATATAGCTATTCCTCATACATGTTTAACTCATTGCATGTTATACAGTAAAGAAAGAATTTAAAGATCAAATAATTTGCTGTACCAATGTGGTGTCAGTAGTAAACCCATCAGAAGGCTGAATCAATATACAAAGAATAGCTACATTTTTATTGTTTGACTTCAGAAGTTTCAGCAAGATGTTCCAACACAAAAGAAAAAAAATATAACATGGTATAATAAGATTATCATACAAACAAATGATATATTTCATCTATTGATTATTGCTCTTCTTTCTTTTAATGTGCTTATTATCAACAGAGTCATAACATTACTAAGTGAAAAATGTCCAGTTTTGAATTACAACAGTTTAATCCCTAACAAGAGCTTAAAATTTTTGTTACATTTAATATATATATGTCAATTCAAATGTTAATAGGAAAAAAATATTATTTTATTATTGATTAATTGTACAAGCTAATTTTTTAAATTCTCAACAGTCATGACAGTTGTCAACTAGGCCCCTAGACAGGATCTCGCTGAGGGGGGTTATTTGAGATCATGTAGTTCTGACTTACATAGTCAAACTTTAATTTGAATCTCAACTTTTAAATATTAATAGGAATTTTGTGTGTTTTCAGAAATGTGGAGGGGTGTCCAAACATAGTATACAAATAAAGCAAATATTAATTTGTCTTAACTGTTATTTGAACAATACAATGCAATAGTTGGATTGAAAGATAACATCTTTTTACATCAAAATTTGTCAGATAGTAACCAAATCTATTTCTTTTTCAGAAGCATAATATTACACTTATAATGTACTTGTACCACCTCCTAATCTAGACTGACACTGAGGTTGTGAGTTTGAACCCCTCACATGGCAGGTGCATTCAACTCCAATCTGAATTGACTAGGATTGTCAGTTTTCCTGTCAAGGTCAATGGTTCTGTCCAGGCAATCTGGCTTCCTCCACCAATAAAAATTGACCTCCACAAAATAGCTGACAGTGCTGAAAGTGGAATTAAACACCAACAATCAATCAATCAGTCTTAATTTAGAAACTAATCATCCACAGTATACTGTTCCATCTTGTTTAGTCCTAACTGAGATTTTACTCCTCCTCTAGGTGATAAAGATAACAACTCACCACTGTCACATGACTGTATATGAGTATTTAGATTTTCTGTTACATAATTTACAAACCTGTAAAGTATGTTGAACCTCTTGCAAAACTTTATGAACCTGATCTTCTAGTATCCATTTCAGCTCTTTCCTCTATAAATAAATAAATACACAAATGTAGTACAATTTAAAGTAAAGAATAACTCTTGTTTTTTGCTTGGAGTGAATATTTCATATAAATATGAAAATAATGGCAGGAGATGTAGTATGATTGCCAATGAGACAACTATCCACCAAAGTTCAAATGAAGTGGATGTACGCAATTATAGGCAACTGTACGGCCTTCAACAATTAGAAAACCCATACCACATAATCAGCTATAAAACCCCATGAAAACCCAGACATGAAAAATGTGAAACAATTACATTGAGAAAACTAAGGGTCTAACTTATAACAAAAATTTTTACAAAAAAGAAATATGACAGACATGAACTAAGCCTTTTAAATGTAAAAAAAAACCTCCTTGGTTTCATGAAATCTTTCAAATAATGAAGTAATGGATATTTTGAGATTAGTTTTTACTGGTTTCATCAAAAATTGACAGTCAGTATATATGATAATAAGAATAATGTTGTGTTTATCATTGACAATCCAAATAGCAGTAGCCTCAGTTAAAGACAAAGTGCACTCCCCTTTGAGTGTGGCACTTTGTCATCAACCTTTGACTCTATTTATTTTCACAAAGCTACATGTATACATACAAAAATTCACATTAGATATTTTCCTGAACTGATATAACTACAAGTCTATTAAGCGTTAAGTGATGCATGATATGTATTGCGAAAATATATATTGAACATGAACATGATGAATAAATAATTTATCGATTTACACTAACTAAAAGTATGCACATAGACTAAACGATGAACACTTAATATCATGACATAAAAAGTGTTCACTGAAGATAAATAAAAATATTATCTGAGAAAAGTCTTTGCTGTTTGTACCATCTGTATGGGTTGAAACTACTTCCACGGTAAACTAAAGGTCCAAGCTAGCCCAGATAAAAGAGGAGGGAAGTAATTTTTTATTCTAAATATAAATAAGAAGATGTGGTATGAGAGCCAATGAGACAACTATCCATCCAAGTCACAATGTGTAAAAAGTAAACAATGATAGGTCAAAGTACGGCCTTCAACACGGAGCCTTGGCTCACACCGAACAGCAAGCTATAAAGGGCCCCAAATAAACTGGTGAAAAACAATTCAAACAGGAAAACCAACGGTCTAATCTTTATAAAAAACAAGAAACGAGAAACACTTATGAACCACACCAACAAACGACAACCACTGAACAACAGGCTCCTGACTTAGGACAGGTGCATAAAAATGCAGAGGGTTTAAACATTTTAACAAGGACCAACCTTCACCCTAACCTGAAACATGGTATAACATTACAACATAAAAAGACACACAATAAAATATCAATTGCTAATTTACTAATTGACTGTAAATTAACTATGCGTAAATATCTGTTTTTTGATTGTATTGTAATTTGTATGTGAGGGCCTCAGGGAAGATTAGTTTATTGTAACTAACTGAGTTTACCCTCTTTAAATAAAGAATTTATTATTATTATTATTATTATAATTGAAATGGCTTAACTCGATCAAAAAGACAATACACAAAAACAAGTAAATATACACTGAACGAATAAGTTTGATCTATGACATAATATAAATAAAAAAGATGTTTCAATGTCAAAAAGACAACTGTAACCTAGGGACAATATGGCGTTAAATAAGTAACGTACACAGGTAAATTTGTTAAATATAATCATTTTGTTGTTAGTACAGAAACATTTACAAAATAAATTTGTCATTCATAGTACATGTAGTATGACATAGGGTTATTACAGAAAATAACTTGCGTGTGTTATTATAGATACTTTCATGAGTTGTCTACTCTTTATTCCTTAAATTTTCTAAATCTGTAATAACATATGTTTGTTATTTGTAAAATAAATCAAAAATATTTTAATTTATAGTGGGCTCTATATAGGGAACTCTAGAGACTTTGCGCAGAAACTAAATGCATAGCCTTGATAACTAATTTTTTAATTAAATTAATACATTTTTGATTAACCATGGTAAATCAATGAGACGAGGCTTTTAAGGGATAAACTAAGCTGTAATCACAAGGCTTAGTTATTAAAGGAATGTAACTTATTATATGAGACACTTGGGAATTACTGGGAAGCTTGCGCAGAACCTCATTACATGCTCTGGTCATTATTTCTTACAATAAATTAAAATACATTGTAATTAAGCATGATTTATGTCTGAGCAAATGCTTTGGAGTGATATAGAGAAGCTGTGATAACACACTTTAGTTATTCCAGGCGAATTTTTTCTGTAATAACATAGGTGTACTATGCAAGATTGGCAAACTATGAACTGTTATAAATATCTTTCTATAGTTAAGTATACATAAAGACAATAGTAATATCAATAGAACTTGTATACATTTTAACTAAACTAATGATGTATATTGTCCCTTTAAAACATGTAACATACATATGTTATCACAGTTCTTTGATTGTTTTAGTCCACAATAACAAATGTATGTTATTTTTCTGTAATAACCCTATAGAGTTATATCCCTGACTGGACTGTATGAGTACAGAAGTGAAATTTTTTTTTGTCATACTAAATACTTATCAAAGGTGGTACATATTAAAAATAGTAAGATGAGATATAACACAAAATAAGTAAACATTAATACATTGTAATAACAGAAATGCATTACACAAATTGTGTCAATCATAAATTTACTTTTTTTTTGGTGCAAATGATACTTTGTATTCTGAAAACTAGTAGTGCAAACATAGCATTGGCTCAACTGACATGACTGAGTTGTGGCCCAAAGGACTAATTTTTGGCGCAATGGATTTCTCTCATTCCCAATAAATCAATAAATTTAAAAACAAATATTTTAAGCTCATTTCTTATCCAATTTTCATAAAAATTTTCATTTCTTATACTAATAATCAAAACTGTATTTGCAGTTTTTTATGTCATCAATATCAGTCATGGTTGCAAAGGCTTTAAGCAAACCCCTAACATTATGATACGTGAAAAAACATCAACATGTGTACTTGAAGTATATAATAAAGTGTATATGATATATGGCTTTTTCAATATCACACAGCACATCAACCCTTCATCAATATAATCCCTCAAGCTGAGCTCTTAGGATAACATTGGTGTCTCGGGTTGATATGAATGTGATATATTGAGAAAGCCATATGATATTCTCTGATGTGATGTTAAAAAAAAATCACATCAATGATCAAGTAAGTATCATGAAATCTTCAAAACTACAACATTTAATAACATGTATACGGAAAACCATGAAAATTACCATTAAACATGTTAAAAGGTCAAAAATATCTATGTGTTTTATAAAATTTAGATTTCATGAGAATGGGTTAAGCAAAGATTTTTTCCAATTATAAAAAATGTATATATAAGTACTTTTCGGTAAAGAAATGAGTTGCATCAAATTGTACCAAATAAAAGGCAAAGTATTAAAAATACATGTACATGAAATATCATCATGAATATTATCAATACACATCCAGTTAAAGTGATACATCCACATGCCGAACATCATAAGTGTAAATCAAAAAAAAAATAAAAAAAGTTCTAGTCAGCATCGTGTGCATAAACCTGGATATCCATTAATCCCTTTCACTAGAAGTATAATTTCAAGTGTTCAATTATTTGTTTATATAACAAAGGATGTTTTTGATATGACATACATCTTTATCATGAAATATAATATGTATCTCATCTGACAATTAATACGAAATCATGAAATAAGAGTAAGTTATGTGTAAATTGTATACTGGGTAATTGTATTATATGTCTCTAGTTAACACAGGCACTTGTTTCTATCAATGGGAAGGTTGACTATCCATATAGAAGCTTCTGTTATATATGGTTAGTCTACATTCCCATTGATAGAAACAAGTGCCAGATAACAAATTTTGCATATATTACATATATGTACTATTAATATTCCGGAAATTTCTTTCGTCCGTTAGGTCTGATAATTTTTTTTACATGATGTTAACTGAACAGACATACAGGACAAATGAAATTACAACCCAGCAACATTTTATTTATTTCTTAAGCTTAAGTACATACTGCAAAAAATAAATAAAAAATGCAGTTTAAATAGTTAAAACTCATAATAAATGTAATTTTGTAGTATATATATTTTCAATGCTTGGAATTTACCTCTCAAACGAGGGATGCTCACTCAATTGAGGGGTATCCCTAATCTGAGTGTGTTCCCATACCTAAAATTGAGAATGGAAATGGGGAATGTGTCAAAGAGACAACAACCCGACCATAGAACAGACAACAGCAGAAGGTCACCAACAGGTCTTCAATGCAGCGAGAAATTCCCGCACCCGGAGGCGTCCTTCAGCTGGCCCCTAAACAAATATATATACTAGTTCAGTGATAATGAACGCCATACTAAACTCCAAATTGTACACAAGAAACTAAAATTAAAAATAATACAAGACTAACAAAGGCTAGAGGCTCCTGACTTGGGACAGGCGCAAAAATGCGGCGGGGTTAAACATGTTTATGAGATCTCAACCCTCCCCCTATACCTCTAGCCAATGTAGAAAAGTAAACGCATAACAATACGCACATTAAAATTCAGTTCAAGAGAAGTCCGAGTCTGATGTCAGAAGATGTAACCAAAGAAAATAAACAAAATGACAATAATACATAAATAACAACAGACTACTAGCAGTTAACTGACATGCCAGCTCCAGACTTCAATTAAACTGATTGAAAGATTATGTCTTCATCATATGAATATCAGGCACAATCCTTCCCGTTAGGGGTTTAGTATCATACCATCATAACATATATGAGAAGAACATAACCCGTGTCATGCCAACAACTGGTTTTTAAATAAATGTGTTTAGTGCCGATGCAAAGACCCTATAAGTGAATCAATATTAACGCCAAAATATGCAATCTTTAATGACCTGACAACAGTATCGTAACTATATCCCTTCTTGATAAGTCTATTTAAAGGTTTTGTTAGTTTCAGAGGTGAATACTGACATTTTTGTGCTTTATAAAGAATATTTCCATAAAAAATTGGATGTGATATACCTGAACGTATAAGAAGTCTGCATGTTGAGCTATATTTACGAATGATGTCCTTATACCGATGATATGTGTCCGATGATGCATGTCCTGTTGAATTTTTTAAAAGTTCATCAGCTGATCAGTTGTTCAACTTCAAACATGAGTGCAGATTTTTTTTAAATATTCTTCAATGCGTTTTAGTGATATTTTGTGTTTGTGTGAAAATCTATATTTTGTGACATTATTCACAACATCAACAATCTAATAAATAATAAAGATCTCACCAGCACTTCTGCTTCTTCCTCCATTCTTGATAGGTGTGATTAACTTGTTACTTCCCTTGATTTACCTCTCTCTGTTGCAACACGAACCTGTTTTCCGACTTTTCAGAGTTTACATCGATAATTACACAATAGGTTTCTGGTTTAAAGGAATTCTACTTGTGCTTTTACTTTTTCGTTGAATAACTGATGATTTTCAGTTACAAGCTGTACACAAAATATCGTATTATCAGAAACGGTTTCTGTTCCCGTTCTTTCGCTCTTAGAGTTTGGAAATTGTCTCCCCTTGATGGAAACTAAAACCCAGACAACAGCCAATATAGTTGTTGCAAAGCAAGAGAGGAAAGTTTTCTCTGGTAAAAATAATTTTAGATAATTTATGTTTGTCCTCTGCTAAGATGCAACCCATCTGATCAATAGCAACGCAGTTCATCCTATATAATTACCATAATTCTGGGAACAGTATATCTAATGTCAATATATTTATATAATGTTCCTGCATAATTACAGTCAAAAACCATGGGTGCCAAATAGTCCAAATAATTATTTTATTTTTGCTTTGACGCCTTAAAGCAAAAAAATAAAATAGCCTTTCAAGACGACATTATTATTTGGACTAGGGTACCAAATTAACATCATGATTTATAAATAATTTGAAACTGATAACATTTCACATGCAAAATGTCAGCTAACAAATCAGGAGTGCAAAATCATGGTTCATTTGTACAAATTGTGACCAGTCAAGTGCACAACCCTATAAAGTTTACAAAATAATTTTATCTGACAGTTGTATAGATAATAGAAGTTGTTTTTTTTTCTTCTTCAAGTTTCTATAGCGATCTAGGTTTTGTCAACCTACAATAACAGATGTCATTTATGTAACCTTCATAAAGGAATTATAGTTATCTCGTACCATTGTAAATTCGTACCACTTAAAAAAAACTCGTACCAATGAAAACTCGTACCACTGCTAACTCGTACCACTGTAAATTAATACCATTGTAAACTCGTACCAACTTATTTAAATGCATTCAAATGGTGTTTAATGATGAATATATACTTTAATTTCACTCAATACCTCTTAAGTTTGTGAAATGTATATAATTTGAAATTAAAATGACCAATGTGTAGCTAATTTTCCTTGTCTAATTGGATAGAGAAAACCGTGGCAGATTGGTTTTGTTGTCTCCCTTGAATAGACTTTTTTTTAAACTTTTACTGACAACTATTTGATTTAATTTTCAATCATTCCAAATCAGTAACATTGAATAGATTTGGGTATTTTTCTATTGTTTCTAAAAGGAATTTTATTTAATGAAAGAATTTATTTATTGTGTTTTAAAGGTTTAAAATTGTTTATGACCAACAGTTAGAAAGTATGAAATTTATTTTTATACAATATTCAGCACATTGTAGCAGAATAAGACCATGCCTATACATGATAGGTCATTATCTGGCGTGATAATTCTTCTCATTTATATGTATCACCTGTAGTGAAAGATATGCATGCTCGTTCTTGAAAATGAAATGGCACCTGAGATCACCCTCGGTTTTAAGTGGGTTCGTGTTGCTTAGTCTTTCCTTTTCTATGTTGTGTTTTGTATACTATTATTTGTCTGTTTGTCTTTTTTATGAGTTTGACTGTCCCTCTGGTATCTTTCGCCCCTCTTTTTTTAATGATGTGACTAATGGTATTGTGAATGACCAGTAGGCGTAAATAACAAAGAAGATATTTTAATTTTTTGTATAAAGCTTAAAAAAAAAATCATAAAACATTCGTATTTTTGTCTAAGTTTTCATTGAAATCTAGTATAAATTTCAAGTAATTCAATTATTTTATTAAGTTTACCAAAAAAAATCATAAAACATAATCATTCGTATTTTTGAATATATTTTTAATTGTACGAGTTTGCAGTGGTACGAGTTCTGATTGGTACGACTTCCCAGTGGTACGAGTTTACGTTGGTACGAGTTAACTTTTTTGGTACGAGTTTACCTGGTACGAGTTTACAATGGTACGAGTTAACTTGCTTCCTCATAAAGTATCATCTTTAATCAAAAACTTATAAGGAAAGTTTGTTTTAAAATGTTATGAAAGGATGTAGGATCAAGTGACAAATCTTTGCAAGTTTAGAATGAATATTCTGTTAATATAACACAACTGTGATATTACAGATAATTTTTTCAGTGTAATAAGTTTTAACTATAGATTGTTTTTTTCATTATTTGACCCCACAGCATTTCAAAAGCCATGCTTTGAAAATTTAAGCTTTTGCTCAAAAATGTTTTGACAAGTACATTTCTTAATATCCAAGGAATCTTTCCAGCAAAGACAGATCCTTTCTGAAATAGTTGGTACATTTCAAAATTTATAGTTGAAAAATCCATAAAATTTATTTTAACTACTAAATACACATTAAAGTTGTATTAAAAACAACCAGACAAGGATTTGTCTTAGTGAAAATGAAGTGCACTCACTGAACAACGTGATAAGCTAATTCTTGAAACAAAAAAATTCTAGATTTGACAGAAATTAGTAATTTTCATAAACAAGTTACTAGAATAATAAAGAGCATTACAAGTGACAATTTTTTGCTCTAACTGATAAAAAGTTATTGCAGCTGAAATCAAATTAAGATAGTAAGAGGAGATAACTCAGGAATTTTGTCTTCAATAACAATTGTCAACAAATTGCTGTAATAACTCTATATGGTTATGTAGTGGACTAAAGACTAATCCCTATCCAAATCATGATAAAATCGCAAGCAAATTAACCATAGAATCTGAAAGGTAGGTATTGCAAAGAGAGCTGATCAGAATGAAGGGCTGGAATTTCAACAACTTATGAAAAATTGGGGTACATGTATGCTGGATAAGGGAAGGCAGAAATTTGGCCACCTGAACTGTATATCCCACTCAAAGAGTTGTTGCATTTATGGTTCTTTAAGGTTTAAAGAAAGTGGTGTTATCCCTCCAAAGGCATCTGTTATATCACCATTATAACAAGATCTGGATGGCTATTCATACTATATATACAATTCACAATGTTTTACATTGAAACTACAAATGCAAAAGTGTTCAAAACCAATTAACTTTACACTTAAATCATGGAAGACATTTGTTTAATAGTTGAAAATTTGTCAGTATCGTTACATTGCTGCATATTAATCATTGTTTATATTTGAACTTTATGTATGGAAATGTAACCATATAATGACAAGATTTATTTTCAGGCGGAGGACCAAAGAGAGTTCTGAATCAGATTCCAGATGAAATATTAAATGATCCCAAACTAAAGCAAGCTGTAGGAAAGGTATACTTATTCTTTAGGATTAAACTGTACTTTTACCTCTACTGTTTTAATTTTGTGACGGCCAATCTGACTCTCTGTCATTACCCCAGAATTTGACTTGGAAAAGATATATATAAATCAAATCATAGATGTGCAAATGGCTAGCAGACAGTCTAAAACAACATGTTAATTAGCTATCCACATGCAATTTTCTCAGAAATGAAAAATATATTTTTTACCTGTACCTGATAGTTGAAAAAATGTTAATAGTATTTTGACAGTATCTCATGCTTGTTGAAGTAATTAAATACAATTCAGTTCAAACACCACAAGATGTGTTTTGATATTAAATATAAAATAGGGAGATGTGGTATGATGCTTGTTTTCCGACACTTTTTTTCAAAAAATAACTTTACTGTGCTTACAAAGGGAGACAATTCAATCTCAGTTATCCAAAATTTACTTTACATTTGATTATGCTTAAGTTAAGTAACAATATTCTGCTAGGATAAGATTTTCTAAATCAAATCACAAGTATTTCCCTTTCAATACTTGAAATGAGAGCTTCCAAAAACTGTTTTAAGTAAAACATTTGTAAACAGATGTTGAAATGCTGTTATATACTTGTTTTATGGTTTTTGTCAACAAGTTAAATTGGCTGATAGCATCAAAGCATGCATAGTGCTTTAATGACCACATGCAGTTTGAATAGATTAAGTAGAGTTTTAAGTACTAAGAGAACTGATTAAACACCATCAACACATTTATTGCTGTTCTTCTCAGAGTTACAGTGAGGCCTGCCTTCAACACATATTGAAAGCAATATCTACAAGTTATAGACTTGTACAAGAAATTTAAGAAATACCAATTGATTACTATTAGAGTTGGTTTATGATTTGTGGTTCAATCAACTGTGATACCAATTGATTACTTACATGTAAATGAGCTGGTTTCTGATTTGTGGTTTAATCAAATGTGATGCCCAACATTTTGGTTATCTCTATTCATTTCTTAAATATATTATTTAACAACATTCTTATACATAATTATTTTTTGTTTACTGAATGTCCAGTGGCTAATATTACATCGTCTTATACATTTCAGAATATTTTAATTATTAACTTGCAAGGTCAATAAGACAATACGTTCTTTGGCTTTTCCAGTATCAAGTACAGCTATAAATAAATATTTTTTTTACTAATTTTTAACATTGCAGCTTCCAGATAATTATAACTTTGAAATCTACAAGACAATATGGAAAATCAGGATGATAGAAGCAAAAAGAGGTAAAGATACTGAATGGAATGGGAACATTCTTCACATTTTTGCCAATGTTTGTAGCAACAGCTTTTACATCACATAGGGTATTAAGACACTATTGTAATCTATAGTGAAATTTAAGAAAAAGCATTAATTCTAATTATTTTCTGGTACTTTATTTCAGAACATTCTACCGTTAAAACGTAAGGTTATTGTTCAGAATGGTTTGGAAAATCTTGATAAATCCTTTCAATAAGGTATAACACAATTGCCAAATGTTATATGGGGGTCTCATTGGGGGGTTCTGATCCCGGATCCCACTTACTGTTTTGTCAGATTCCCTTATCCCGATTACACTATGTACATAAGCAATTCTCATTTTTTTGTAATTTCCCGTGTCCCGCTAGACTTCATTTCCCGTTTTCACGCCACAATAATTTGACTTTCACGTGTCACGCTTACAAAAAATCGGCAATCCCAGGTCACACTTAGACCCCAATGAGACCCACTTAAGTACATTTTCATAGTTTGTTTGAAGATATTAAGGTCGAAGCTACAGTGTTCTAAGGGAGATAATTGAACCTGATTCAAATGTTTCTGATACAGTGTTCCAGATTATAATATAAAAATACATTGAAGGAGATTAGAATAAAAATAATATATCCAGATATCTGGAGAGTTGACTCCTAAATGATAGTACTCGTCTTTCATTTTAATAGCCCTGAACTACAGCAGGTGGATACTGGTTTACCACTGACCCTATCCTTCCATTGCTCTATCCCAAACACTTTTCTGTCACTTTATTCTCAACAATTACAAATCAGACCTTTTTTTCATCATTCGTACCAAGCTTCATATTAGTAAGCTTTACTGTAAGACACATTTTCTGATCAGTCATTCAGCTACTTCCTGTTTACTGCATACATTATAAAGATAAGGAGATGAGGCAGTATTGCCAGTGAGACAATTATCCATAAAGTCCAAAAGACAAAGATGTGAATAATTACAGGTCAAAATACAGCCTTCAACAATGAGAAAACCCTATACTGTATAGTAAGCTGTTATATATATTATTCTTTTTCCAGTTGCCTTACAGTTTCCAGAAGGTTTGCTAGTATTTGCTTGTGTTATAGCAGATATCATAGAAGAGTAAGTTTATTTGTTTCAGTCAGTTATATGTTTATTACTGTAAATGTACTCCTTTAAGGGTGTAATTATTTCACATATTTAGCTGTAGGTATATTTATATGTGTCTGAAAATTAGGAAGGGACATGTAGCAAGTCTATTTACAAGTGTTAAATGATAAATACTGAAATGCAAATTTTTTTTACTTAATAATCTTTTTTTAAATAAAGAGGATTTGTCATTGGAATATTTGATTATTACCAATAAGTTTTTAATGTAGATATTTGTAGAACTACGGCAAATAGTAAACAATTTATGATTAGGTGTTTTTAATGTATTAAATGTCCCCAGTACCTGTGGGATAAAACAGTGTAGTTATAGTTCACGTAATAATTTGGCTATCTTCAGATTTACAGATGCAGATACATTGATCATGGGTGATGTTACCTATGGAGCATGCTGTGTTGATGACTACACTGCCAAAGCTCTTGGTTGTGATCTGATGGTACATTACGGTCACAGTTGTTTAAGTAAGTTGTCTAAAAGCATAACTAAAAAATGAAAAAATGGTAATGCTTAGATTGATGTGTTATCGTGGTTAGATTTCCACAGAATGGAGGAAGAGATCCTTCTCAGGATAATAACTATAAGTCAGTGGAAACATCACAACCAAAACAATAAAAAGTACAAGAGAGGCAAAGGATACCAAAGGGTCATTCAAACACATAATTTGAAAGAAAACTGACAACGCCATGGCTAAAAATGAAAAAGACAAACAGACAAACAACAGTACACAAAACACTATATAGAAAACTAAAGACTGAGCAACATGAACCCCACCAAAAACTGAGGGTGATCTCAGGTGTTCTGGAAAGGTAAGTACAAAGCATAAACAAACAGTCCACAAATGATTATTCAGAAACAAAAGATTGAGCAACACAAACTGTTAACCTCAGCATGATGTATCATTTTATTACTTGTATTTAGTAATTTAACGTATTGTACCATGAATGTACTTTTATTAATGGGATATTTATTATCTTGGGCTTCATGGTTAGCACTACTGAACTTTTCTCAATCAAACAATTCATTTTAAGTAAATATGACTAATTGTAATACTCAAACAAAATCTTTGAATAGAGAGTGTAGTGTGTATATATTCATGACACAAAATTGCTTCATGCATTAATCTTAGATTCTATTGGCGTTTTTCATCTTAAAATGACATTGAGACCTTCAACATGCAAGTAAAAATTGGCACCTTACAGAAGTTCAAGAAGACCCCATAGATTGTTCTAAATTTAACTCTTTGCAAGATGTTCCATATGTACACCTTTTCTAAAATGCATATATTCTATTGATTGTTTGATATGTGTAAAGTCTGAAATAAGTGAAAATTCTTACAAACCAGGAAACTTGGAATCAACAAATAAAAAGAAAACTTTTACTTATATCTGTAGTCCCTATAGACAGAACAGAATGTATACAGATGTTATATGTATTTGTTTTTAACTTACATTTGTAGTTCCTATAGACAGAACAGAAGGTATACAGATGTTATATGTATTTGTTCTTAACTTATATCTGTAGTCCCTATAGAAGGAACAGAAGGTATACAGATGTTATATGTATTTGTTCTTAACTTATATTTGTAGTTCCTATAGACAGAACAGAAGGTATACAGATGTTATATGTATTTGTTCTTAACTTATATTTGTAGTTCCTATAGACAGAACAGAAGGTATACAGATGTTATATGTATTTGTTCTTAACTTATATTTGTAGTTCCTATAGACAGAACAGAAGGTATACAGATGTTATATGTATTTGTTCTTAACTTATATCTGTAGTCCCTATAGACAGAACAGAAGGTATACAGTTGTTATATGTATTTGTTCTTAACTTATATTTGTAGTTCCTATAGACAGAACAGAAGGTATACAGATGTTATATGTATTTGTTCTTAACTTATATTTGTAGTTCCTATAGACAGAACAGAAGGTATACAGATGTTATATGTATTTGTTCTTAACTTATATCTGTAGTCCCTATAGAAGGAACAGAAGGTATACAGATGTTATATGTATTTGTTCTTAACTTATATTTGTAGTTCCTATAGACAGAACAGAAGGTATACAGATGTTATATGTATTTGTTCTTAACTTATATTTGTAGTTCCTATAGACAGAACAGAAGGTATACAGATGTTATATGTATTTGTTCTTAACTTATATTTGTAGTTCCTATAGACAGAACAGAAGGTATACAGATGTTATATGTATTTGTTCTTAACTTATATCTGTAGTCCCTATAGACAGAACAGAAGGTATACAGTTGTTATATGTATTTGTTCTTAACTTATATTTGTAGTTCCTATAGACAGAACAGAAGGTATACAGATGTTATATGTATTTGTTCTTAACTTATATTTGTAGTTCCTATAGACAGAACAGAAGGTATACAGATGTTATATGTATTTGTTCTTAACTTATATCTGTAGTCCCTATAGACAGAACAGAAGGTATACAGATGTTATATGTATTTGTTCTTAACTTATATTTGTAGTTCCTATAGACAGAACAGAAGGTATACAGATGTTATATGTATTTGTTCTTAACTTATATTTGTAGTTCCTATAGACAGAACAGAAGGTATACAGATGTTATATGTATTTGTTCTTAACTTATATTTGTAGTTCCTATAGACAGAACAGAAGGTATACAGATGTTATATGTATTTGTTCTTAACTTATATCTGTAGTCCCTATAGACAGAACAGAAGGTATACAGATGTTATATGTATTTGTTCTTAACTTATATTTGTAGTTCCTATAGACAGAACAGAAGGTATACAGATGTTATATGTATTTGTTCTTAACTTATATCTGTAGTCCCTATAGACAGAACAGAAGGTATACAGATGTTATATGTATTTGTTCTTAACTTATATCTGTAGTTCCTATAGACAGAACAGAAGGTATACAGATGTTATATGTATTTGTTCTTAACTTATATTTGTAGTTCCTATAGACAGAACAGAAGGTATACAGATGTTATATGTATTTGTTCTTAACTTATATTTGTAGTTCCTATAGACAGAACAGAAGGTATACAGATGTTATATGTATTTGTTCTTAACTTATATTTGTAGTTCCTATAGACAGAACAGAAGGTATACAGATGTTATATGTATTTGTTCTTAACTTATATTTGTAGTTCCTATAGACAGAACAGAAGGTATACAGATGTTATATGTATTTGTTCTTAACTTATATTTGTAGTTCCTATAGACAGAACAGAAGGTATACAGATGTTATATGTATTTGTTCTTAACTTATATTTGTAGTTCCTATAGACAGAACAGAAGGTATACAGATGTTATATGTATTTGTTCTTAACTTATATTTGTAGTTCCTATAGACAGAACAGAAGGTATACAGATGTTATATGTATTTGTTCTTAACTTATATTTGTAGTTCCTATAGACAGAACAGAAGGTATACAGATGTTATATGTATTTGTTCTTAACTTATATTTGTAGTTCCTATAGACAGAACAGAAGGTATACAGATGTTATATGTATTTGTTCTTAACTTATATTTGTAGTTCCTATAGACAGAACAGAAGGTATACAGATGTTATATGTATTTGTTCTTAACTTATATTTGTAGTTCCTATAGACAGAACAGAAGGTATACAGATGTTATATGTATTTGTTCTTAACTTATATTTGTAGTTCCTATAGACAGAACAGAAGGTATACAGATGTTATATGTATTTGTTCTTAACTTATATTTGTAGTTCCTATAGACAGAACAGAAGGTATACAGATGTTATATGTATTTGTTCTTAACTTATATCTGTAGTCCCTATAGACAGAACAAAATGTATACAGATGCTATATGTATTTGTTCTTTACTTATATTTGTAGTTCCTATAGACAGAACAGAAGGTATACAGATGCTATATGTATTTGTTGATATTGCTATCGACATGATGCATTTTATGGACACACTGAAACATAATTTTAAACCAGGGGACCATCTAGCACTTGTCAGCACTATCCAGTTTGTTGCTGCCCTACAGGTACTGTTCTATCAGATAAGGTTTGGCATTGTAAGGAATATCATTTGTATGCATGGTATGGTTAAATCATATATTTATCTTTCAAGAAAGTAATATTACTTTTCTTTACCTTGTAAAAGAAGTTAGGTTTTTTATTGGTGGAGCATGTATTTTATAATACAAAAAGCATCATTAATTTTTTGGAGTATTGATAATAAGCAGTATGTGAATAAATTGATATCTTGCACATACATTTTAGATATACTTTTAAAATCTATGTGGATAAAAGACATGAAAAAGAAGTGGGATTATGTCAATGAGACAGCAATTCAATGACACAAGTAATAAGTGAGAGATACTTACTGATTTGAGTTTTATATGAAAATAAGAATATGTGGTATGATTGCCAATAAGACTTGTACAACTATCCACTAGAGATCAAATAATGTAGATGTAAGCAACTATATATGTAACCATACGGCCTTCAACAATGACCAATCCCATACCTAATAGTAAGCTATAAAAAAAACCACGATGATAAAATGTTAAACAATTTAAATGAGAAAAACAATGGCCTTTTATGTGCACAAAACAAAACAAAAACAAATATGATAGACAGCAACCAATGACAACCACTGCATTACATGCTTCTGACTTTAGTTATTTTTTGAAATACTTATTTTCTGTAGTCTTCAGCTGGTGTTTTGAGAGAAGATTTTACCATTACTATACCTCAGTCCAAACCTTTGTCACCAGGAGAAATTCTAGGTTGTACATCCCCTAAACTTTCACCAGATACCACAGCCATCATGTAAGTAAGATATAGCTATAAAAGAAAACTATTTAGTACATCTCTTTATCTTTCATCAGATACTAAAACCAAAACTGATATATACCATTAAAGAACACAAATTGCACATTTTGTTAATGTAAACAAAGTGTTTGGATTAAGTTTATGCACAAGAAAAGAGAAAATTAATTACTTCAAATATTTCCCAGTTGACATGGTTGAGAACCAAAAAAGTTGATTTCAGTTTTCCAATTGTGAATTTTCTATTTCTGTGTATCAACATCCCAGGATCACTTGAATATGGAGAATACATGTAGATTGTCCAATTGGTACAATAATCCAGGGCTTGTGCTTCCTATCCTGATTTCCTAGAAAGAGGCTTGCTGTTAACAAGGAAGTTTTGCACCATGGGTTCCAAACAGTTAAGCACTTCAGTTTATACTACTCACCGAGTTATATTTATGTTACTTTTATAAAGTATATTTTGCTGTTATGAATCATTCTGTTAAATTGTTTAACCTAGTGACAGACTATATTCAAAAGACTTTAATTGTAGTTATATATTGTTATAAGGATGTTGTATTTGTAGTTACCTTGGCGATGGAAGATTCCACTTAGAATCTATAATGATTGGTAATCCGGAAATTCCAGCATACAGGTACAGTTACAAATACATAAACAGTTTATCTTATATCAACAGCTCAGATTGTTTCTGACCTTATTTTAATGGTAAATGACTGCAATCACTTTTGAATCATTAGCTAGATTACAGCAGTGAATAGTAATGGAAGAAGTTTTAAAATTTTTATTGAGATTACCTTATTTGTTCATCTTGAATTATTAACCATTTGAACTTGGAATGATCATGTAAAAACAAACGACTTGGTCAATACCAGCCAGGTGGACATTTTGTCTTTAAAGGTAACATAAGCCTTGTAGTCCACTCTCCTGTGCTGACTTAAAATATTATTGTTGCATTCATTTCCTACTGCTCATAAAATGTTTAAATTGTTAGAAAAAAAGGTCTTACTAAAATAAGGGATAGATTGCATAAGCTAGAATATGAAAAACATTTTGAAATATTTGGTTTTTATGGCTCTTCAATTTTGTTAATGATTTGACCTTCCAACTGTTTTCTTTCATACACCTTTAATAATATTTACGTAGAGGAAACACACGTCTGCCATACCAAAGTACAAGCCTGGTATAATTAAAAGTTATATGATTTTCTTTAGGAAATGTGAGGAGTGTAATTATTTAATGTATTACAGATATGATCCTTACAGTAAAGTTTTCTCACATGAGTACTATGAGATTGACAAAATGCACCAAATAAGACAGCAGGCAATACAGACAGCTTCTAAAGCTAAAAAGTTTGGTATCATTTTGGGGACACTTGGTAGACAAGGATCTCCTAAAGTGTTTGAAGTAAGTATGAGGCATGGATTGGTGTTTTAACATACAGTGGCAAATATTACATGCTTATGAGGACGAGAATATGAATTAACATATTAGTATTAGTTCACATGGTAACAGTCCCCAGAAAGACATGTCAACTTCCTAGACATATTATTCTGATGGAGGCTAGCAGTCTATGCTCTCAAGCTTAAAAGTCAATGCTTATAGGAGAATCAGCAAATACAAGTTTTCAAGTTTTTTTCCCACCCAAGTAGGGATCAAACCCATGATAAATATACCACACTCAGGAGACCACCAAAATGGTTAAGTATGAACTATATCCTAATTTAATTAATTATTATTTTTTTTTGTCCCCTGCACAATCTGTTTTTTCGGTCTTGTATGGGCTCTCACATGTACAATTCTTGCAAGATTTCTTATAAAAATTACATCAAAAGTTTATATCATCAATGTCTTAGACAAGTTAAAAAATCATAAACGACTATGTATAAAGGAGTTGATCATGCTCCTTGGAAATATAAATTATATGAAAAATTTCATTGTAAGCTCTCTCACACCAACATTTCTTGTAGGATTGTTATGAAAATTCTATAGAAAATTGCGATGTAAATGCTTTCAAATGTACAATTCTTGCAAAAAGGTTTGTATCAGAAAGTTTGAAAATAAGTACCCATCAAATATTTTTAAAAGAGTTATGCCCCTTGAAAATTTGAATTATATAGAAAATTGCATTGTATGCACTCTCATACCTACATTTCTAGTAGGATTGTTATGAAAATTATATATCAAAAGTTTTTTATTTTGTTTTGACTTCAAACAAATTTGACTAGATATATATATATATATAGCATATATATATATATGTGTGTTTTTTTTTTTAATTACAGCATTTACAACAGAAAATAACAGATTCTGGAAGAGAATATGTTTTAGTGATGTTATCTGAAATTTTCCCAGACAAATTGAAACTTTTTACTGATGTAGATGCGTATGTATATTTGTAGATTATTTGAACTTATTAAAAACTAAATCCTGCATGCTCATATTTCAACAAAAGTCCAGATGGCTCTCTTAGTAATTTAAGAACGATATATACTCTATTCATTAATAAATCAGCATTCCAAGTGAAATTTTAAAATCAAGTTATTTCTGTATTTTATTATAAAATCGATTTTTACTATCCAGGCAAAATGGACTTTTTTTATTCAGATACAAAATTTAAAATTGAATCAATAAGAGAATTCTGGTATACTATAAATTGTTTTTGTTTTGGCATACAGGAGGTATTGGTAAGGTATCCAATAGCTATATCTCTCAATTCTTTGTTGTTAATTAACTTAATGCTTAAAACTTTTTGCAGGGTTTTGTTTGAATTGGCTGTATTAGGGATTTTTTTTTGTGTTGATTTGAAGCTTGTTTTATCCATTAAATATTTAAGTATTTTGTCATAAAAACTGGTTAAAGTCAATCCAATTAAGGAACTCATAGTTATATTTTATAATGTGGCACACTGTAAATTTTGTATAATAGATGACTGTTTTAACCATGATTTCAGGTGGGTTCAGGTAGCTTGTCCCAGACTCTCCATTGACTGGGGAATGGCTTTTGAGAAGCCACTGTTAAGTCCCTATGAGGTAAATATGCCAAAGTTTATATTGCCTTGCATTAAATATACATACATATGATATATAAGATAACTACAGTTGAGACAATTGAAAAAAAAAATTCCAGGCTTTCTCTGGATTTTAATTTGCCCCTTTACAGTACTTATTATGGTATACCATTGTCCGTCCTTATACGCCTGTTTACAGGACGTATAATGGTATACTGTTGTCCTTCCGTCTGTCTGTCCATCAGTCTGTCTGTCTGTCGTCAACATGTTGGACAATAAAAAACGCTTTAACCAATTTGCATGAAACTTTGGTAAATTGTTTATACATGTATCTATTGAAGTAAGCTCCCTTTCAATTTTTATAAATTTTAGATTTTACATTTCCAAGTTGTGGGGTTTTATTCATTAAAAAAGTGAGATTATCCAGTTTTCAGGCAAATAACTCAAAAATGCTTTGAGCAGTTTTTATGAAACTTTGGTGACTGGTTTATATCTATTAAAATATCTCCCTTTCGTTTTTTTATAAATTTCTGATATGACATTGAGGAGTTATGAAACTTTATTCGTTGAAAAAGCGACAGTCGTATCATGCGCTCATGGCGCAGCTCTTTATTGTTAATTATATTGTCTAGGAAAATTACTTTGCATTGAGTAAGATAAAAGATACACTGCATATAAAGATGTGAATAAAAGATGGTTGGGTATATAGTAAATGAGACCCCAAACTAGCATCACAATAGTACCAGGAAATGTCCAAGGTTAACATGCATTCTTCAAATTAGCAATATTACCTTAAAAAGTTACCAAAACTTCAAAAAAGGTCATGTAAAAATAGGAAATTTAGAAATAGTTTATATATATATATTTATCATGTACTTAGCGTTAATATGATAGTTTTTGCATATGTGTTACTAGTGGAAGTAAACTAGCCATTATAAACTCGCACCCAGGCTGATAACCCACATCAGGGGCCTTTTGTGCAAATAACCTTTTACAGTACATCTTTCGCGAAATACCTCTGGTATTTCTGGTGTCGTCTGTTTACAAATAATATCTGACACAAAAAGACGTGACAATGGGTGATTGGTTTATTAATTTTGCAATTGCGCTATTTGAGCAGTCAAATTGCATTGACCCTATATTTATATGTGATTAACAGTCACTGACTGTATATCGCCTTTTATCGCACCGTGGGTAAATTATCACGTTGTGATTGGATTAACGCCGTCACGTGGTGACCCTCTATGGATCCGTAGGGGGTTAGTAAATTTCATAGGGGTTCATGACGTCACGTCTACTGTTAATGGCGACGTCATCTATTAATGTTGTTGTGTTTCATTTGGTTTATTTTTCTACAAAACGCAGCCGAAAAAGTCTCACGTGTGATAAATTCGTTATACGGTTCACTACTGACCCCCTACGAACCATAGAGGGTGAATAAAATTCATAGGAGATTCGGCCTTCTGCCTCACCCCCTATGGATTTTACTAACCCTCTATGGATCCGTAGGGGGTCAGTAGCGAACCATATAACTTATAGTTTGTGACATTGACAATGCGTTTCAGTAGAGTTTTATTTATAACATCAATACAGAATACAGGTTCCTGGAATATTTACATTGTCGGCTTCAAATTAAAAAATGATGGGTTTTACGTTTTTACCCCAAATATTTCATTTTGAACAGTTGTAAGAGTTGCAGTATATAAAGAATAAACATACATTGGCTCGAAATATAAATTTTATTTGTACTCTGCTCAAGATTAATAGATAGTCTTTCCAGTTTGGCCCGGGTATCATCCCTTGACAAATATCAGCCCAGGACTAACGTCTCAGGCTGGTAAGGGGGACAGGGATGATACCCGGGTCGATATGAAAAAGGCCATTTTTTAATCTCTATATAAGTAATGTTTCTGTTTGTTTCAGCTTTCAGTGGCATTGGAACATGTTCAGTGGCAATCAAGATACCCTATGGACTTTTATGCAAATGATAGTTTAGGGCCTTGGACTGTTAATAATGAGGTCCATAGACCACAGAGACAAAGAAAACCAAGAACTATTATCAAAAAGGAGCTGAAAGAAAAAACTGAAGGACAAACATCTTGTTGCTCACAGAATTCTGAATGTTGCCATAGTAACAACAAAGGAAAGTTAGATAGCTCTACAACTTCAAATTGTGATAAAAATGTTTCTGAAAATAAAAGCTAACAAATATTTGTATGGAAATATATGAAGGAATTTACCGAAAAAGTTTTATTACATATTGAGTCATACTGTTTCATAAATGTCCTAATATTAATTTTTATTCACTTCAATCCTACATAAAAAGTTATTTGGAAAACTTTCAGCAATGTATGGCAAAAAATATATAAAAAGAGATGTTAGGTATATTTCAATGAGTCTGTAGTCCAACAACAAAAATAATCAAAAGACATCAAGGAGGCAACATACAGTCTTTAACAATAGACAGATGTCATATTTAGGCCAAATAACTAGTATTGAAAGAATTGGAACTGGAATTACGGAGCATATTGATATACCCCTGTCTGTCCCTCCTTCAGCCTGTCAATCCTTCTGTCGTATGTTTTTCTGTCCCACATAGGATAGGTGGTTTGTCAAGCTGACTCTTCCTACAGTTTTCAAGCTTGAAACCTTTATATCATATTATTACAATGCTAAGACAACACACAAAATCCTACATATAAAACAAAACCTGCGGTTGATAACAGTTATTCTAGAAGGGTACACATATCCTGCTCCACTAGTGTCATCCATTGTGTTTCTCTCAGTAAGTATGAAATCGGTGTTAAGTCTTTCAATATAAAAATAAGGAGATGTCGTATGATTGCCAAAGAGACAACTATTCACCAAAGTACAAATGAAGTGGATGTAAGCAATTATAGACAACTGTACGACCTTCAACAATGAGAAAAACCCATACAGTATAGTCAACTATAAAAGGCCCTGACATGAAAAATATGAAACAATTCAATTGAGAAAACTAACAGCCTAATTTATAACAAAGCAATTTACGAAAAACAAATATGACGGAACTACAGGCTCCTGACTTGGGACAGACACATAAAGAATGTGGCGGGAGTAAACATGTTTGTGAGTGATCAACCTTCCCCCTAACCTGGGACAGTGATGTTACAGCACAACATAAAAACATCACTATTCAGAAGAAGGATATTTTTCTCTGATGGAACGTTTTTGAATTAAATATATGCCTCCATAAGATATCCAAAGTACTTGCTAATGACATATTTTAAAACAAAAAAATATACAGCCAAGTAGGCTAATAAGATACATCTGCCAATGTAACACAGTAGGTATATTTGATCCCAAATGAAATTGTTTGGCAGGGAACATTCAGCTGAGTGGGTCTAAAAAAAAACCATCATTATGTTTGCCCTAAACTTTTAGTCTCCTAGGATATCACCAGCCCAGTAGCCAGTAATTCAGTACCAGAATTAAAATACATAGATCATTGATCTATTTTGCTGCTAAAAAATTTAGAAAATCATTGTGAATTATAAGAATAATCTACCTCATGAAAAGCTAGGATTCCTTGTTTTAGGTTTGGCTTTTCTTGCTGTCCATTTTTGGTTTTATCAGCTTGTCTTTATTTGCATTAGCTTTTCCACTTTCAAATATGTGGCCTCGAGCATAACTGAAGATACATATATTGTCAAAATGTGCATTTTGTGGCGGTAAAATGGTACCATTTGATTATGTTAAAGTTTGAAACACCAAATACATAAGAATTTGTGAGCATCAAGAATAAAAGACACAAATCCGATAATGTCTGAAAGTGTTTCTGTAAATTCAGAAATTATTGCATGCATTTATTAATGTGATTTTTAAAGAATGGAGAAAATTGCGAGATTAATTTTTACGATTTCTGGAAAATCTGCATACAGATATATGTATCAGATATCAGAATGCGAGTTCTTATTATTGTGATTCTCATCCAGTCGCATTACTTGAATTAATTAAAACCTCACAATAATTTCTGAGTTTTCAGTATCATATCATATGCATAACATTTAACTTTGTTTCTATGGATACACATCTCTTACTGTAATTTGATATTAAGTGTTTCTCTCCAGCTATTGCAAAATATTCAAAAATCTGACAGAATTGCAATTTCTTGTTTTATCTAATCAAAGTGTTCAACTGGTCATAAATTTTAACAAACTTCTATAAAGAAATGCAGTCATTTTCTGCACTGTTGAAGCATGATTTTTCATTTTCATTAAAACAAGGGACTGATTATTTATTTTCACAATTATATTTATAATATTTGAAAACACAATTTTTAAATTCATTTTTTTATTCCTAAATAAATAATACATGTATAGTCAAGTCATTATGTACCATTAAATCAGAATTAATCCTTCTCCTCTGGACATGCTGGAAGTGAATCTTCTGAATTCCCAACTGCATATATTGCATACGTACAAGGTATTAAAGGTGGGCTGTAACTAGCCTCTTTTAAAAGTAATGGCAAAGAAAATGGCCAAGCGGAGTGAGGCGAAAAAAATTTCGGCGAAGGGTTTGGGTCATGCAGCTGAAGGCCCCAAGAAGCTATAGAAAAATGATGCAAAATCATGCAATCTGCGTGTTTCCCAGACCCTTTCTTAATCTGAAACACAAGTTCTGTTTTAATTATTTTTTCAACAATATTTTGGTCTCAAAGCAAAATATATAGATTCAGTGTAAGACTTATAGTTTTTAGGGACAACATCAAAAGACCAATATGTAGGATAAAGCAAAAAATGTAATTCACATATCTAAGTATGTGGCTGCTGTTTTTTTTTTTTTTTTAGTGGTGTTTTGGCTTGCAGAAAATCTTTCATACCTGTCAATTATTTGTTTCTTTTTCAAATTAAGTTAAGAGGGGGCTGATGGATACAATTTAAAGAAGTTTGTAAAATTAGATATAAAGTCCTTAAATAAAATAAAACTCAAGTTTAAAACTAAATTACTAAATTACAAATGGAATGCAACACTAAGAGAATAAAGAAGGGCAATCAATGAACAAAAGACAAACCCAGGAACAGATAAAACACAAAACAACAAACAATAGACAAATAACACTGAAAACTAAAAATAAATGAGAAACATGGATCCCGAAAAACTGGGGCTACGTCAGAGGGTGAACAGAACTTGCTTCTGGCAAGACACTCGCCGCTAAAAAAATTTGATATGAAGACAAGTTTTTGTTTTTGAAATTTCCTACATGAGGTGTTTGCCTTAATGTAGTTTCAGCCCTGTAATAAAAGGGAGGTAAATGTTCCTGAGACAATATACCTCAAGTTAAATGAAACCCATTTTCAGACATGTCAAGTACATTAATAATTATACATTGTATTATTGAAAGATTTTGGAAGTCTTTCCCGAAAAAATATGAAAAAAGACGAGTTTTGGAAGAATCTGGTGCCATCTCATACTTAAGAATAGCATGTATTATAAAATGGCTTAAAAATCCTGCCGAGTTATTTATTTTCAATACATCGTAAGTCAGGTTATTTATTTTCAAACTACCACAGAACAAACTATTTATTTTTGTTATTATCAAGGCTGAGTTATTTATTTTCAAAATCCTCCTGCCCCCTCCAACCCCCCCCCCCCCCCCCCCCCCCCCCCCCCCAGAATATCAAATGGTCGTCCCCTTATGAAGGTATGGCTTATTTGTTTTATATATATTGCTATTGTAAAGAGCCATTTGAAAGGTTAGAGGTAGTAATTTTTGAATTGCTATAAAAATGTCCAAACAAATTTTCATACTATCTTTCTTTTAATAAGTCTTCTATATTTATAAGAATTAGGCACCAGTTTTAAATGAAATATTCAGTAAAATATATGTAAAGTTACAATATGTTGTTACTGATAAGTTTCCAGGGGGAATACTCTATATTCCTCAAATTGATAAAACTCACTGTCTTATCTCCCTTTAAACTTCATGAAAACATAGTTTAGCTAAAAGTATATTTCATGGAGTATTTTAGATTTTAAATTTATGACAACTTAAGTAGAAATGTCTTGGTAACAACATTAAAAAATAAATAACACAGACATGTTTTAGCAATTCCAAAATTGCTACCTTATCTTTTTAGATGACACATAACAATAAATTTATTCTTCAAAATTTTATGCTTGTAAGTGTGGTTTATTTTATCACTTTGCACTTTGATATGTTGTTTTCTACAACAATTCCCCTTTTATTGTCATAAATGTTCTTATTCTACTACTATCTTGTTTGAATGAGTATATATGTGCTTAAATACCCTTTTAACTCATTTGAATGCCTGTTTTGAGGTCTTCAGTTTATATAACAAAGAATTTCAAAATTCAGGTTAACACCTCTCATGGGGTATATCCCCCATAAATAGGGATAGTTGGCAGGTCTGATTGCAATTGGGCCAGACGTTTAAATGAACTGCAATAGATGGAGAGAAACACTTTTAGTCAAGTCACAGTAAAACCACTTATTTATCTGTTAAACTGTATGGTTAGGTACTCTCTATTGAAATTGTACGTAATGGTTGATTTTGGAGGAGTTTGTGTAGGGGAGATGACGGTGGGTCTGTTGAGTTGTCCCATAGTTTTAGTAATTCCTGTTATATCTTTTATATTTTGACCGATTTTTCGAAGGAAAAATCGGTTATTTATTCGGGGATGTACGGCGGGCGGGCGGACGGGCGGCTGCTAAACAGTGTCCGTTCATTAACATGAAAGCGCTTTGACGAAGTTTTTTCAAATTTAGATATGTTGTTTCCTGTGACTAAATGAAGGTCAAGTTCAATATTCACGATTTTAGCTTTTCTCGTTGTTGATTTATAGTCCTTTCCCAAGAATTCAATTTTTGATGTAATACTTATTAATTACTCCATTTCTGTTCAAAGGGAAATAACTCATTTTTTAAAAGGTTTTTAAAAGACATTGTATGAATGATAAATGACATTTTTGATTTTTTTTTCTTTTCTTTGGTAAATTGTTAGAAGAATTTTATGGTAGGTTTGTTTGTTATTCTGTATAAACTAATTTTCTGAATGCTATACATATTTTTTTTGTTGAAGTGAACTCCTTTAATTAGATATTAATCTTTTTATTAAAGGATATATTTCATTACATTACATTGTATAGACAAAGTTGTTGACATTGATAGATAAGTTGCAGATCTATATTAGTTTGTGACAGATGAAAGAAA